AAGTAGAAAGATGAAATCAAGGACAGCAAAGGAACAAAATAGAATGAATAAGAGTAAAATGGGAGAACAGAGAGATAATGGATATAATGGTCTTAAATCTTTTTGATACGTCACTGAGTATGGTTGGATAATTGTGCAGTAAGCATAGTAATGTTACTGGGAATGGTTTTAAAATACAAAAATGTGTGTACTAGTTGGAGAGAAGTCAAACCCAGGTAAATGTTGTCCTGTTTTGTGTTGTTCTGTTATTTAATTTCTGAATCTTTTCTCTACATTCAGTTCTACTGTTATGACCATGTAAATCTGCCAGATAATAATAGTTACATGGAGAGCCATTACGGGGCCATATGTATCTGGCTCATTTATAGCCTGCAGGGTTGTTTGTTTTGTTTTGTTTTGTTTTCCAAATAAATCAACTTGAAGAAGCATAGCTATGTATATGTATGTAGTCTGCTTAAGTATATAATCTTAATTTCTTTCCTTTGTTCAGATTTTAAGGCCACATCTACACATTGAAGATTGCCATAATTGGATAATACACCTTTTGGGGATGCATTGTGTTGAATATCTCTCGGCCACTGTGTTGAATGATATATATTAAAGAATATTTAAAATCTTGACTGTATTGTCATTTATGAAATTAATGGATCACAGAAAAACAAATACATATAATAGATAGTTTAGTATATAATAGATAGTAATAGATATTATTACCATTCTTCTAGTTTCGATATTCAGACAATTAATATTCCATTTATCATGTATAAAATGTCAGAGAAGAAGGCTCAGCTTACGGCTGTCACACAGATGCACATGCACTGGACAGACAAGCCCAAACTAGGTGTTATGGCAAAGATGCCAGAAACATGAGAAACAGATAACTCAAACTGATAAGCTCATTGCATAGCACTGAACACAGTCTAGCTTAGTTACTTTGCACCTAATGCTTCAGCTGGTTTATTTAGAGGTAACTTTATACTGTGCTACATAGACATACCTTCTGTTTCAACTTGAACAAACCATTCAGTCATTCTATTCTTCAGTTTTGTCTTTTCAAAGTGGGCATAAGACTTGCTTATCCTAAGTTAATATCTCTGAGATGTGAATATTACAAGAAGAAAGGACATTTAAGTGTGGAGAGAATATTTACATTTAATGTAAATATGATGTAATGCAGGTATTAAATCGCCATGCTGGAAATCTCTCAGAAGAAGAAGATTTTAGGCACTGCTGAATATTTGAACTACCTATGTTGTGCCTTAGTAGTTAAGCTCATGAAAGGGAAAATGTTAATTATTCATAGTGCTTTGCTGTACCATAAAACTCGATTTATTGAGACTATAATTTGTTCAAGTTGCATGTAGTAGGAAAATATATCAGAAGTAATTAATTGTATTCAGGATATGATGAGGTAAATATATCCACAGAGGACAATTGAAAACAGTAGTGGCATGGTAGTGATTGCTTTTTTGGGGGGAAAAGAAATCTTGTCCCATTTCTAAACGTTAAGAATTCAGAGAGAAAAATTCCCACTTGAGAAGAATGCTTTCCAGGTTGCTTCACTGCCAGGTGTTTGACATTGAGGGGAGCCTTAGATGAATGAAGCTTATGGCAGCTTTTGGAAATGACCGACTCCAGGGAATCTCTGCTTCCTGCTGTGAAAGTTTCTGTTTTCAAAGCACATCAGTTTCAGTGGGAATGTTCCAGTGGTCCCATATGCTACTTCTGACAGAGAGGGAAGTTTTTAACCTGAATATGAGACAGCTACTGAAGAGTTTCCCTTGCTGCTAACAAAATGAATTTCAATATGTTGCCAATGAACAAGTGGTATGTTCTCAACTTCTGATGGAATTTAAGTCCATCAATTATTAAAGGAAATTTTGCTTTGTTTTTCTTTGTCTTTTCCCTTTTAACTCCAGTACCTGCTACTGATAGGGCTTTGTGGGTTTGAGGCTGAAAAAGAATCACCTAAACAATATGCTAGTTTGCTTTGAAACTCTTGCTATATTTTCCTCCCCTCCCTCGTATGCTCTCTCCTTGACCTAGCAGCAGGAAGCCTTTGTCTGAGGTGTTCATCTGGAACAACTTTTCCACACTTGTTTTCATGTTCTGTTAGATTACAGGGCAGCAGGCCTACCTTTGAAGCTCCCTTCTCTTTTGTTTCTTTGCAGTGCACTCCAGTAATTAACTTTGTCCTTCTTTTATTTGTTCCAGTCAATCGCAGTCCACTCTGCTGAGCATCTTCTCCCAGGAGTACCAGGTTAGAAGTTTTCTCCTTTGTGAGGGTTGACAGGTGCCTAATTGAATGATGAATGTCCCTTTATTTCTTTGTAATTGAACTGCCAGGTTTCTGATTGGTTTGGAGGATGTTCCCTTTTCCACATCAAGCACCGCCTGAGTCTCAGTGGATGGCTGCCAAGCCTACCCATCCATCTGTCTAATAACATCTAGCCTTTGCTTATTTGGTGGACCTGTAATAAATTATGCTAAACCATTATTATTCTGACAATAATAATTTCCCTGTGTTGCGTGGTTCCATGTGCTAAATGTTTGCTGACTTGCACTGTCAGTGCTGCTTTCCATTGCTGACAGAGATGATGATAAATGACCATTGCCGGAGTGGCAGAAGGCAAGAGAGGCAGAAAATGGAGTCATTTATCATGAGATGACAGGTGTCAGTCAAGTGGCAAGTCTCTGTGGAATTACTTTTTGTAGTTTTTCAAATAAGTTGTTTTTAAGCAATGTTCTTCCTGGTTAAAAATGCCAATTGAATTGTAAAACTAGCGTACACCAGACTTAGATGGAATTGAATTGAGGGAAAATTAATACAAAGATTGAAAGACAGAACAAGTTTTACTTTGCCCTCTGCAGCCTTCAGTAAACTTATTTAGATTCAATTATTGTGACCTTACTGGCTTTTACATATATGGTACATTGCAGTACACTATGAAGACATTCGTTTCAATTGAACATCATTTCTATATAGAATTTCAAAACATAGTTCAGTTTGTATAATAAAGTGTAGCCTAGGCATCTGTTTGAACATTTATGATTTTTGTGCTTTGATATATGACACATTTGTAAGACTGTTTTTCTTTTGTTTTTCAAGAAACAAATAAAAAGAACACATGCTAAGCATCATACTGCAGAAGCAGTTGAATCTTACTACCAAAGGTATGACCTCCTTACCCTAGTTAAGAGTATCATCACTAAATTTTATTGTAATTATAAGTAAATTAGCTCATTAGCTTATGAAGATGATTTTCTATAAATATAAATTAACAATTTGGGATAAATGTTACAGAATGTTCACATAAATGTGTTTATCAGTGTATATACAGAATATTTCAGGCTTTGGTCAGTCTGATCAAGAGGTGTTTAACTTCCTTGGCTTTTAATCCAGATAAGCAAATATTATTTTTTACAGTGCATATGAAAGCATTCATTATACACTGCCTATAGTTAGTAATTATGTAATTTCTGTGTCAAGACTAATATTAATGATAAATTCCTTACAGCTAGTGAGCTTCTTCTGTTGCAGCTGCTTGTACTTTTTAAAAAAACAGCTGTTTTACATTGCAAAAGTTACATACTAAATTTCTGTATTGCCAGCTTTAATTTTTAGATCACTCCTGTTTTATCAACAGAAGTGTCAGAAATAGCTTTTAAGGGAGAATGTCATTTTACGATATTCTGTAATTATTTGTGTCTTAAGCTAATAAAATGTTTGCGACATCTTATAGTTTGTCTGTTACCTCTATACACTTTATTTTAAATGTCACAATGACATAATTGGGGCATAATGATAACTGGTAAAAATGTGCAATTAAAGAATACTTTGTAGACTGACATATCTGAAGAGCTTACATGGCAAGCAAGTTCATACTTGTGATTATAGATGTCTGATATCCATGCTTAATGTTAATCTGTATGAACCAGGAAAATAAACAAAAAGCTTCCATTTGTAAACAATTAAGTACACTGTGCTTCTGCAGAATCATATGTTTAAACCTAAGCACAACCTGATTATATCAGAAAGCCTTGTGTGAATTGTACTCTTTGGAGGGCTTGATTTTCTTTTTCAAGTAGCTATATAGTTTTGTAAAAATTTGTACTGGATCACATCGCACTTCTCCCAATGTTGATGTTTGTTTAGGAAGAATATTGGCTTTAAATTTTGTCATTTGAATAACCATATATATATGAAATACTTAATTTAATTACTTTTAACTAGTATAATTTTAATGAAGTGTCCTATGTTAATTGTAACTGTAATAATTCTTTTCTTAGAACACATGCAAATAATTTAAACTCTTTTTATGATTATAATGTTACTAGTCCCATTACATTGAACCTGACATGCTGAATCAGATTTTGCTTGTTGCAAAGTAGCAATGTTGTTGGTACCAGTGAAGTTATAGGTGTAACTAAGTTTGGCTAACATCAGGTAGGAATACTTGGTGTTCTGTCCCCTTCTGTACTCTGAGGTATGTGGCAGTACATAACTAATGCATTATGTATGAAGCTATGTAGTAGCTATGCTATTACTGGATATTGTGTGTATTGCAAACTTTTAACATGGTTGGACAAAATGCACATATTTTAAAATTAGGTATGTTCTGGTTATTATATAGGAAACTCATCTCAATCCCATTTTTGATTTACGGTGTAATGTCTAGTAGTCTACAGGGGCAGACTGCTTGAGTGAGAAGGCAGTTTGAAATGCTGCAAGTGTAAACATGGCAAACATGTTGACTACTCTTTTGTAGCATCCATCTTACAACTATACATTCTGTGTGATATGCTTCTCCTACATACAAACAAATATTTGTGCATTCCTCTATCTGAAACAACACAATTTTGAATGTAGTCATTTCCAGTGGTCCTTGTTAGGAGAAAGCATAAGTGTGGTTTTGTGGAATAGTTCCTACTGTTTGGCTGAAACTGGTATAGGCTTCAATTTGGACCAACAGAAAGCGAAGTTATAAGAAGGATCAGCAAGCTTTTTAGGACAGTATTGCCATCAACAAGTGAAATCTGTTAGTCCACAATGGAATTGCCAGTAGCACTCCAATGTCAGCTGTAGCTGTGATGTTTGATCATCTGGGTGCATGTTTTCGAACATTAGTCTCAAGCAAATCTTCTTGGTTAAGTATGTTGTTCTTTAACTGTCTTTTTTTTCCCCCACCATTATAAATTTTCAAAAGTTCAGATTTACATGAGACATCTTATTTTGTGTTTTTACATAGAATTGAAATAGGTTACAGCAATAAGCTTTTATCAGTTCCTTTATTCATTAAGCCTCAGAATAACTTGCAAACAAAAAGCCATTATCCTATGTGAAGAGTTACATATAAAGATGTTAAATGCATTTCACAAAAAGGTAAAATGATACTAATATCTGTAGCTAATGAGCAGAAGAAGGGCTTCTGATGAATAGATAATAACAGAGCTAGAAAGGCTGTGGCCTTCTAATGATTTGCTCTATAAATAAAGATAGGATAAATGAGCAGGTTCAGATGTTGTTCTGTACCAGATTGTTGCAAAGCAGAGTGGCTTCCAAAAGTATTCTTCATTCCATCAACTCCTGAAAATAATAGATGCTAAATTTTTCTTTTAATATTTCTTTTAATATTCTTCACAATATTAAGTTCACTTTTATACTCTGATTTCACTGAAGTTAGTCTTTAGTATTTAAACTATTACCATTACCTTTGTTGATAAAATCTGCAATTAAACTTCTGAATGTACTTTTTGTGCATAGTAACAAGTTAAATAAGATGTACAGTGATTTGCACTATGTAGCTGAAGATCAAATGGAACTCAAAATCTTTTCAGTGAATAATAGAGATTTTTGTTCTACATCTTTAAATAATAGAAGTATAATTTGTTTATATGGCTTTTTGAATCTTTTTGAAAGACCATTGTCTTGATTTGTTGTCTGTTGTTTTTTTTTTTTACCAGTAACTTAAATCAGATTGTTGTATATTGCAAATGAATAGGAAGCATGGCTTGGGGAGTTTGTGGTTGTTTAAGCTACTTATTTATTAGAACGCTTCTCATGAAATATGCTGTGCTGGGCTGTACAGGAATTACCTTTGTCTTGTCTAGGTACCTGAATGGGGTGATGAAAAATGCCACTGCCCCTGTTTTACTGGAATTGGCCAATGAGGTAATAATCTTCACTTTTTTCTTTGATTTTCCAAATGTAGAACCTAAGGGGCATATCTATAGTGACATTACTGATAAGTGTAATTAACGTAAAATAAATTGTTGCCAGGCACATTAGACATTTAAAATTGTTCCCCAGTCTGTTAGTACTTATAACAATTAGACAAAAAGCCTCATTTATTAATAAATCAGTTAATGTAATTAGTCTCCTAACTTCAAGAATTGTAAGAAGCTGGATTTTTGTCTTGCTGGAAATTTCAGACTGTACATAGATTTTTTTAAGCACAATTTTACTGAAAGTTCCTACGCTGATTAAGTGAAGTCGCATCTGTTAACAACTTTTAAATAACAAAACTAAGATTTTTGTTTTAATACAAACGGTTAAAACAGTTTATTTTCCTGACACCTTTTAATTCTGTTCATACAGATTAGAGGATGACTAATGAAAACTGCTTAATAGAAGAGAATTAAGCAGAATAAATTCTTTGGTATAGCTGTTTCCTAGAAAACCTGGTCTGTGAAAAGTTTCAAACGGTTGCTATTAAAAATCAGACAAATTTATCGCTACTGTTTATTAAGTAAAATACGAATCTGGAGAATCAAGGCATTAAAATATATTCTCTAAAGCACTACCTTGAAGAAAACATAAAAAGTTTGGAAGAGTGGTGGTGAGCCTCCTAGATAAAAAAAATCGATCGACTCACCTACCCTTTACGATTAAAGATCTATTGAAATTGCATTTCAATAGGTGTTAGGAGACGGAAAATGAGTGCTTGCATTAAAACTGATGTTGTATGAACATTGTGTTGCAATAGCAGCAACTTCAAATATTACATTAGTAAGAAAGAATGGTTTCTCTCTCACGTACATTGCTGACGCTAGCAAATGAGCGATTACCTATCAATTACTAGAAGATATTAATGGTCTTTGAAGTGTCCACATGTCCTGATCATACTATTACCAAAGAATAAAGGATTTATTTCACATCAGTAGTAATGTGTAGCTTTTTCTTTCATTTTTTTAACTATTTCTGGAAGAAACAGGTCTCAAACTACATTCTGTTTTCAGAATATAAAGTATGGCCTTATTAAGAATTTAAGTAAACAACTTGTTTCATGATATACTGCACCTATGTTATATGAGAACTGTCTTCAAAATATTTCAGGCACAAAGTAATCTATGTTACTGGTTCATTGTATATTTTTTCCATTGATTTAGAGATTATGCATATCATTTCTGACTCTAGAGAGCGTATCTTTGTTTATATTACACTAATATGCCTTTGCAATACAGATTAAAGTTTTCTTCAGTTTAGAAATAAATAAAAATTAGATCTAAGAGGAAAGGGAGATGTACAAAGAACTTATCTGCTTCTGATTTCATGGTAGCAGGTATATAAGAAACGCAATGTATTTTGTGACTGCTGCCTAATGCGTTAGTGAAATGTGGCAATAACCAGTACCAGATTACTGCTTCCAAACAATCATGCTGCCATTTTTATATGATAGTTAATATTTAAATGACATACTCTTGCGTCTGCTGACAATTGATGTAACGGTAATACTTTATGAGTCAATATATATTTAATCAGTGGAAACTGTAAAAATTGATGAGAAAAATGTTACATAGGTGCATTACAGTGTGTAGCAGCTCTGTTAAATAGGAACAGCTCCATATTACTATCTTTTGGGGCTGGTTACTGAAGGTTTTTTGAGGATATGTGAGACTACTTTTAAGTGCTTATTATTTTATTTTATATGTGGTTTCAATCACTAAAATAAATCTAATTTCTGTTAGATAGGAATAATAAAATTAGTCACTGTTGTCTTCATACAAATATTTTCAGGTGAGAGTTGAAGCACTATGAATTTTACTTACATGCTAAATTCTGACATGAAGCATGATGGCC